TGTGCACATGACAATTAAAGTAAAAAGGGCGATGTGCTTATGCTACAGGAGCCATAGACGTGGTCACCCAAATAGACAACTGCTCGCAGAAGAGCCCTCGCCCAGGCACGTCAGGAGTCATCTCTACGAACTGGCGGACGAACTCCAGAGGTTCATTAGACAACGTCTGGACCCGTCAGCTTATCGACCCTGAGTGGCATTCACAGGGAGTCAGTCTCGAGTTATGTAGACTGCAGACCTGTGAGTGCCGTTCTAGGCGCACAACCACCGGACATTGTCGAGACGGAGCTTCATCTGCCTCGGGGGACTAGAACCATAATAGCCCAACTTGGCTCTGGCTACTGCAGCAGGTTAAACTCATACCTGAGCAGATTAGACGCAGATATGCCATATGAGTGTCCGGCATGCGGAGACACCCTATGACTCGAAACATCTCCGAGGCTGCACGCTTCTTAGGGCTTTCGTTAGTGGAGCTTGACGACAACGACTGAGATATTAACCGATCCGGGCGGGGTTGTTGTAGCCGCTACAACAACAACAACAATACAATAGACAACATCACTGACACAACAGACCACAATACCGATAAACTGCACGGTGTGTCACTCCAGGATATTCCGTAATGTGGCATCACTCAAGTGCAACACCTGCCTTAGCTGGTCTCACTCTAGGGCATGCTCAAGACTGCGCTCCGCGCGAGATTGGGCGATGGACTATGAGGGCCCATGCTGTGCTGCTCGGTCGCAAATAACAACTGCGACGCCGCCCACTACCACCACAGGGCAACAGCCTCTTCAGCAGCAAGCACAGCATGTGGCGGCCCGGCAACACATCTCACTAACACCCCACATTCCAATAAGTCTCCCTACGCACGCGAAGATTTTGCAATTTAACTGTAACGTACTTCAGAGCAAGATCGAGCACCGTCGAGATCGCGAGCGAGATAATGGTGGTGGCCTATCGTTCATCACGCACCACACCGAGCTGTATCGTCTTATCGCAGCAGACATCGACCGCAGGGATACCATCCTGGAATTTCAGAGTATTGCTATCCGGTCAGGCGATGTTGAGCTCGAAATATTTAACGTATATATACCCCATCACCAGCTGCCCGGCAGGATGTCACCCTGAAATAGGTGCGCTCCTCTGAGGTGAAAACCGTACGATCTTTGGCATTCAAGCCTATCAAACGATCGAAGGGGAACACAATTGGCTGAGCAGATAAAAATTCTACATTCTGCACAATGAACAACGACGCACCCACCAGGATTATGGGCAGCTGCTGCAGCTCGCCAGACCTAACAATAGTCAGTACTGGTCTGCCCCTCCCATAATCATCTCGATTGATAAACCTGCCGCCTTTGCTTCCGCGGATCACCGGACCTATGCCAGCTTTTCTAAAGCTGATTGGAGAGGCTTCGCGGATGTTACTGAACGCGCCTTGACTGCACTACCCGCACCAACCGACGTTCACGTAGGTGAGCGTAAATTCCACAGGGTTGTCACTGCTGCTGCAGCCCGCTTCGTCCCAGTGGGGTGTATCTTGGACCCCCGTCCGAATTTCAGGCCGATGCCGGAAATTCCCGTATCAGGGATCTCAGCTCGGAGATTCGGCAACTTGTGAACGTACATAAGCGGAAAAAGTGGGAAGATCATCTGAAGACTTCCATCTTTACTGTCCAATTCGACAAAGCGCGACGACAGAGTCGAAATATCTTTCGGCGACCACGCTTCATCGGCACCGGAGCGATACGCGAGCTACTTTATCCGGCAGTTTATACTGCATCTTCCAGTGGACAAACACAAGCGTCGAGTGACCAGAAGGCTGCACAAACTGCCAACAAGAAGTGCGCCTCTTGATTTCACCAGCGGTGAAGTTCAGGTAGCGATCGGGAAGGCGAAAGCCTCCAAAGCCATGGGACCCGACGGAATATGCATGTTGATGCCGAAAAATTTGGGTCCTGCGGGAGTAGCGTATCTAACGGAGGTACTCAATCTGTCAATGGCTACTCTCGTCATTCCAGGCCTGTTCAAACCGGGGAAGCCAGCCAACAAAATGAGTCTTATCGCCCAATAACACTCCTTTCCCCGGTAGCGAAGACACTAGAGGCCTTGCTGCTCCCTTATTTTGCGAACCACCTGAGCCCAGCAAAGCATCAGCATGGTTTCCGTAAAGGGCACAGCGCAACAGCACTTAACGATATAAACACTCAGATAACACGTGGCCTTAACGGCAACCGCCCCTATGAGAGAACTCTTCTAGGAGCGTTGGACCTGTCAAAGGCGTTTGATACCGCCAGTCACTCCACGCTACTGGAAGATGTAGAGGCCTCCTCACTCCCATAGAGACTCAAACGGTGGTCAGCGACTTATTTGAGTGGCAGACACTCGTCAGTAATGTTTAGAGAAAAATCAAGCAACCCTAGAAAAATAAAACAGGGGGTTCCACAGGGTGGTCTCCTTTCCCTGTTTAACTTTTATATTTACAAGCTCGCTGAACCACCAGAGGGAGTCTCGATTGTCTCTTACGCTGACGATTGTTCGATATTGGCGTCTGGTAGGGAATTGATGACTTGTGCTCGAAAGTAAACGGGTATCTCTTTGAGCTTTCTCGCTCCTTCACTGCTAGGAGTCTAAAAGCATAGACAGACGGCAACGTTGATCCGGATTAACAGCGCAATTGATCTGATCAAAATTGTGCCTTGACAGACGGTAGTAAGCGGAGTTATGAGCGAGGTCGTAGGTTCGAATCCCTCGGCCAGTAGAATATTCATTATTTTTATTTTTTTTCATTCAATTATAACTTCTATACTTTTTTAGGTTGTTTTTAGTTAGTTGTCTTTGACTTTTTTAGTTAAATTTAACTTCAAAACTTTGAATTAACTAATAGTAAAATAAAAAATGTGAAATAAAATAAAACAAACGAAAATAAAATTAAATATATTAATCAACTAAAATTTAAAAAAATTAAAGTACAATAAAAACAAAATTTTTTGGAAATCGCTCCAACCGGGGATCGAACCTGGGACCTGCAGACTTGTAGTACGCAGCCCTCACTACTCGGCTACCGCGGATGAAGTAGTTGGCTGCTTTGTTTGCGTATTTGTTTGCTCAGACTGCGTTTATACAAGAATACTTTTGTCGCCGCGATTTTTCACATTCCCTTTTGGTGTTTGTTGCTCGTTTCATTTACACACAGAAACTCCGCTTGGGAAACTTTTTTGACGTTTTATTTTGTTTTCGCAATTCTTTTGCGATTGAAAATTTTAACACAAATTGAAGTACTTAAAACAGAAAATATGTCGGGAAAATGCAAATGGAGTCATTCACAAGTGGAAAAA